CCGCGAAGTTGGCCCATGGGGACACACCCGTCCAAAACAAGGTGTGAGCTTTAAAAGCTTCTAGTCCCCCTTAAGTAGATAGAATATGGCTTTGAGTATATTATGATAAGATCCCCATATACCACATATTCTACCTACTTAAGGGGGGCCATAATATGAAAACGTCACAAGCGGTTGCAAGCAGCCTTGCCCCCCCATCAAAGGAGAGTGACAGGCCTTGAGAAGGATTGCCATTAAGCTTTACCCTCCCAGTTATTGGTAGTTTCCCAAGAATACGGGGACCCCAATGTAGACCCTAAAATATTCTAATCCTCATTATGGGAGCCACAAGAAAGGTACCCCTAATTTAGGGAAAGCTCCGTATATGTATCTTTAAGGAGTTTAGACTGTAGCCTATATATGTATCCCTAGGATCCGTAGCTAGTGTTTCGAGTAACCGTCAGCTGTGTGGCTTTTAAAACGATTCTCACGTTTTGGTAGGATATGGGGGTTTCCCAAAACTAGGGTTACCCTCTGTAGGGGTTCCCATAATAAGGACTATCGTATATTAGGGTCTATATTGGGTTTCCCCTCCTTTTGGGAAACTACTATATTTGGAGCCCTTATGATACCAGCTCCCCGCAAGGGATTAATTTGACAATCCTTCATATCCCTGGGCACAGGTCAAGGCGCTGGAGACAGATCCCGAGTTGGCTGCCATGTTCGAGGATATGCGTAGAACAAACACTCAAGTTACAAGGTCCTTTTCCTGGGGGTGTATACAGGCATGTATAGGGTTCATATGGCCGTGGGCAGGGGTAGGACACCACACGAGTGACAACGAGGTCACGTGCCAAAGTCCCCAGCGTGGTTAGTTGGAATGTACTGTCCCTGAAATCACCGTGACACCACAAATGTTATGGTTATATAGGGATTGTATTGTGAAAATTGGGGTTGTGTATCGGGATTGCAGGATATTTATTGGGGTTATCTAGGGATAATGGAAAAGAACATGGAAACCAGTATAATAGTTGCCTAGCCACATGTACACCCCTTCTCTTTTCCCAAAAGGGGCCCTTCAGCAGTTCGAACATGTGAGGACATCAAGAAGAACGGCATGGAAGCGGCCATGAAGTACTACCAGGATGAGCCTGTGAACCTGAATGGTACAATTTCATTTTCGTGTTGCGTTGTTTAGGTCTTGTACAGCACTATTACATTGGGATTTAGGGGAATCTGACAATCAACTGGGAAGTTTGTTTATTTGGACGGTCACGGCGGCTCACGGGTAGGCAGTTAGGCAAAAAAAGGTGGGGACATGCGTAGAACTACGATGCGGTGCATGATGATGGTGATGCTGAGAACCTAAGCCAGTGGAGTCATGCCCCCTACTCCTCATTACACATGAAGCACCAAGCGTTTCAAGCAATAAAGGAAGTACAGTTTTCTCCGGTGTTGCGCTACGAATGTCCGAGGAAGAGCTGATGCTGAAGATCTCCCAGAAGATGGGTGGCCTGCCTTCTGATCTCCAGCCGGTGCTTCAGAAGATTGAGGACA